TTTGTCCTGTGAAAGAAGAAATTTCACAAATTTTTTGTTTTCGCATTTCCATGCGAGATCAAAGGCCTGCTATAATAACGTATGGACTTTTGCTGTGTAAGTAAATTCTACAGATTTTTTCGGCTAGCTAGCGGCCCTCTGCGATTTTCTGCCACCAAACTCAAAATCGCAAAATTTGAAGCCCCATATTTGAGAGTTTCGTTCTTGATGTTCAGCTCACGGAATCTTATGCTCAGACATTCATCGTGAAACGTAAGGATTCTAATATTTTTAGCATACAAGATTGTGAATTTAGGTTTATTCTTTGAAAAGTTATTGAATTTTGTTTGAATTACGCAAGAACTTTCGTGCCAACCTAATATATTAGGTTGATTCATAATAAATGCACGTTTTTCCTACCTCTTCTTCCAAGAGCTAGTATTTGATGTATAACCAATTTCCTCAAAAATTTTCCATGCTATCTAAAGCAGCGTTTTCTCAGTTTCTTATGCGTGCCTTCGCTTTCGTAGATCTCCTTTCGTTCCAAAGTTCTAAGCCTTCAAATGAAAGAGACCAAATCCCAAAATTTTTGCTTTTTACTCTTTTTGCCCTAAATTCATGATGAATGGCTGGATTAATTTTAAAAAATATGTATAAGGATTATGAAACTTTGTGTTACAAGATGCTTTTTGAGCAAAATATTCCATGGATTCTGAGCCGAGAAATTTAATTGCGAACTTCAATGATCGTCGCGGCCCTTCCGTGCCATATAAGACTTTGAAGCAAAAGGCGATTGCAGGTTTTTTGCACTATTCAGCAAGTGTAGACCTAGTTGATTTGATGGTAGAAAAGCGCTAGGGTTTTCTCACTTTCCAGTGGAGAAAAATGAAATTATTTCAAAAATGACCGATTTTTGAACCCGCCAAGATGCCCAAAAAAAGCGAGTACTTTCGACTTTTTTGCGATATTTTCTTTCAGAAATTTTCCGTAAAATCTAAACTTGGCGTTACTGCTCAAGAGACCCTTGGCTACACGATGAGCGAAGTCTGCTTTATCCTACTTCATTTCAGCATAAGTTATGCTTTCTCAATAAAGAGGCTTCTGAAAAAAGTTGCTGGCAATCTTTAGGGCAGAAAATCTTCCTTGTAATAGATACAGTCACGCAAAAGTATCTGTTTTATAGCCACTGATTTGATGTTTATAGTAGTTTTTATTGCGCTCAGAAATGTCTTTTCAAAAAAGAATCATTTCGGTTGAAAGTTGAAGTATAGAAAACGTGCATTAATTATGAATCAACCTAATATATGCATATATATACAGGGTGTCCCAAAAAGATGTGCACACTGTTTGATAGTAAATATAACTCTCTTGTAGTGAAGTGTTTCGAGAAGCTTTAGGTACCATTTTGTAGAGCGAGGTTCAACTTAGATTTACAGTGTAGAGCGAAACGCCGGTCTTTCATTTTTACTGTAGGAGTACGGTAGAAACTTCAAACATATGGTGTCACTGTGAAAAAAGGGGCCGTTTCAAAAATTTTCAAAAAAATGTGGAAATTTGTATAATAGGGTTTTTATGGACCCTGAGTTCAATACCCAACTCTTTACAAGGTTGAAAAGCTTTCTAAACGGTGTAACCGCACTTTTTAGGAACATTTAAAAAACGTCTGCTACTGCTTACCTCGCATAATTATTTAATGAAGCATTAAGAAGAGTTGCAAACTTCACATTTAGAAACAGCAACTCTAGTTAGCCCAGTGTGAGAGTTTTCAGGTTGTTTTGGTTTCTTTTTGGAACAAAATATGGCCTTTCATGGCTCAAAACCCTCTTCAAAGTTTGTACCGTAATCCTACAGTAAGAATGAGAGATCGGCGATCCGCTCTACACTGTGAATCTAAGTTGAACCTCGCTCTACAAAATGGTTCTTAAAGCTTCTTGAAACACTTCACCACAAAAAAGTTATTTACAATCAAACAGTGTGCACATCTTTTTGGGTCACCCTGTATATATATTAGGTGGGTGCAAAAGTTCTTGCGCCGAATTTTCAAAAAATCATAACTTCCTTGCCACTCCATGGATTTTCTTGATTTTAATTTCATCTGAAAGAGGAAACCATTCCCTTTACAACGGTACCTTTGCTGTGAAGCGTCGTTAGAAAGTTCCAAAGCTAGCAGCAATTGAAGGAAAGTAGTCAAGATCGACATTTTTCAAGCTGGTTCACGAAAAATTCTGCAAGTATTCTTATTTGATAGAGAAAATTTTGCACATTAAAGTGGTGCCTTTTTCATTGATTAAAACAAAGTAGATCGAGAGTTAGAAGCAATTAAAGAGAATTTCTTTAGTTTTGCAATTTTTGAGCACAATCAAAAAAGCTTGAAAACGTCACAGAATAGGCGAAAAAGTCATAAACATGGGTTTTGTGATCTTCCCTTTCTAGCTGAGCGAAAATCGTGCCAATCGGGAGCAATTTTTATTTTTCGTGATTTATTCGGATTTTCGGGTCTGCGTTTTTCACGAAAATAAAAATTGCTCCCGATTGGCACGATTTTCGCTCAGCTAGAAAGGGGAGGTCACAAAACCCATGTTTAGGACATTTTCGCCTTTTCTGTAACGTTTTCAAATTTTTTGAGCATGATCAAAAATTGCAAAATTGAAGAAATTCTCTTTATTTGCTTCTAACTCTCGATCTACTTTGTTTTAATTCATGAAAAAGGTACCACTATAATGTGCAAAATTTTCTCCATCAAATAAAAATACTTCCAGAATTTTCCGTGATCCAGCTTGAAAAATGTCGATCTTGACTAATTTCCTTCAATTGCTTTTAACTCTCGAATTTACCAACGCTGATTCATGGCAAAGGTGCCCCTATAAAGAAAAAGGTTTCCTCTTTCATTTGAAAATAATATTGAGAAAAATCGTTGAGAAGAAAGGAAGTTATGATTTTTTGAAAATCTGGCGCAAGAACTTTT